AATGGGGTAGTTAACCCTAAATTGTAATTAAATTACACGCCGATTATCGGAGAAAAGTGAATTTTTGGTATCAGTTTTTTCGCCATAAGCTGTTTGTGCGGTGAACAAAAGACAGAAATTCGAACAGTTGTTTACTTGTGTTGTGTGATAAATCCCGCCATGGCTGAGAAACAAACACGTTTGCGTAATAACTCAACCGCTAAGTCAGATGGCAATATGACCGTTGTGGATCTCGCGAACCTTATGCAGTCTCAGTTGGCTAGCTATCAACAGAGTGCAAAAGAGGACTTCAAAAAATTGGGAGTTTCTCTCACATCACTCACATCACAGCTGAGGGAACTTCGGGAAGACATAGCATCGGATATGGAGAAACTACGAGAGGAGAACAACAGAACGTTTGCCAAAATTTCCTCTTCGGTTGATAAGGCAAAGAGGCAGACATCATTGGCACTGGACAGATCCACTCGTATGAACGATCTCGTGATTAGCGGAATCCCGTTCGTGGAAGGAGAAGATCTGCTGTCCTACTTCCACACATGGTGCAGAAATTTCGGCTACGCTGAGAGTAATTTTCCACTGGTAGACATCCGTCCGCTCTCAAAGGGAGCTCTGGCTGCTGGAAACGTCTACATGATCTTGTTGCAATTTGCAATCACTGTCCAGCGAAACGACTTTTACTCCCGGTATTTACGCTCTCGGTCTTTGTCGCTCTCCGGGATCGGATTCACATTGAACAAACGAATTTACATTAATGAAAATCTGGGACCTAACATCAGGGAATTACGGTCCAAGGCACTGCAACTGAAGAAGAATGGTAAGCTGCAGGGCGTGTTTAGGCGAGGTGGTATATTGTTCGTGAAGCGAAGCGGAGAAGAGAAGGAGATTGCTGTATCGTCGGAGAGTGATTTCAACATACTAGTTTAAACTACTATTAGTAATAAAAAGGATAATCCTTGGTTCAATTCTAGCATATGTAGGGCCATCGTTAATCGTGACTTATTATACAAACAATGGAAATTAAGTAACAACGTGGTTGATCATCATGAGTTTAAAAGAGCACGAAACCACGTAAATAAGATGATACGCACAGCAAAACAAAATTATTTTGCTTCTCGTCTTGATCCGAAGGTTTCTCCTAAGGAATTGTGGAAAAATCTCAGGGCACTTGGATTCGGTCAAGCAAATGAACAATCATCGAACAGCTTTACGGCTGATGAAATAAACCGTAACTTTAGCAATTATTTTTCCGACAATAATATTCGAAGTTTTAGTTCTACGGGTTCAAACGGGTTTAACCACGATGTTTTCTATTTTGATAGAATAAACCAAGTAGATGTCATAAATGCCATGTACTCCATCAAATCAAATGCTCTTGGAGTCGACATGCTACCAATGAAATTCTTAAAGGCTATTTGTCCTCTATTAATTGAGCCTATAACACACTTATTTAACACTGTTGTAACTACAAGTGTATTTCCAGATGCTTGGAAGAAATCAAAAATTATACCAATTAAGAAAAAGGCTAATTTGAACACTTTAGAAAACTTGCGACCTATTAGCATCCTTTGCGCATTATCAAAAGTATTTGAAAAAATTGTTAAGATGAACATTTGCGATCACATCAATAGACACAATCTTCTGAATCAATTTCAGTCAGGTTATCGTTCGAAACATTGTACTAAAACAGCTATGCTCAAAATAATTGATGATATAGGTCTAGTAGTAGACAAGGGTCGTCCGGTTGTTCTAATACTATTAGATTTTTCTAAAGCGTTTGATACTGTGTCGCATAGAATTTTATGTCAAAAACTCAGATCAAATTTTGGTTTTTCCGATCATTCCGCGAACTTGATTAATTCTTATTTAAGTATGCGAACACAGGCTGTATTTAATAATGGAGTTTTTTCTCAATTTATTTCCATAACATCTGGGGTTCACCAGGGTTCTATTCTGGGGCCAATCTTATTCTCATTGTACATTAATGATCTCCCTGAAGTAATAAAGAATTGTAAATTTCATCTGTTTGCCGATGATGCTCAGGTATACTTTGACTGTGCAAGTAATTCTGTTGCTAAAATTTCTCAGAAAATTAATGAAGACTTGAAGAGGATCCTAGATTGGTCTGTAAAGAATATGCTTAGCTTGAACTGCAAGAAAACAAACGCAATTTTTATTACAAACAGTTCTTTTCAAAATATATTAAAACCTTCATTGCTTTTAGACAATGAAACAATTGAATACTTCGATAATGCTACCAGCTTGGGTATCCGTATTCAATCCAATTTTGGATGGGATAAATATGTGTTGTCACAATGTGGATAAATTTATGCTTGTTTACGTTCACTTCACATAACATCATCATTTCTTTGAACTGATGTTAAAATTAAACTATTCAAAAGCCTCCTTCTTCCTTATTTTTTGGCATGTGATTTTCTCCTCGATGATGTATCTGCTGGTACGTTCAATAAACTTAAGGTGGCTCTTAATTCATGTGTTCGATATGTTTTTAAATTAAGTAGATATTCTAGAGTTTCTCACCTGCAACATCATCTAATAGGATGCCCTTTGGTAAACTTTGGCAAGCTACGCTGTTGTTTATTTTTGCATAGTTTGTCGAGAACAAAACAACCCGGTTATCTACACAGAAAATTGTAAACTTCACAAAGCAATCGGTCCATTAAATATATTTTGCCAGGACATCGCACGTCAAAGTACGGGAACTCATTTTTCGTGCGAGGTGTAGTTCACTGGAATTCTTTACCCAATAGTCTAACTAATGTAAATTCGTTAACAGCATTTAAGAGAGGATGTATTGAGGATTTTAGTTTAGTAGTAAATGTAGTTCAGTTTGTGTTACGTATCATTTTTTTTTGTTTTGTAATATACTTGTGGCGCTTGTTATACTTTGATATAATCGATGTAACAGAAAAAAGACATAAGTCTTAAGTTACAAATTATAAGTCAATAAATAAATAAATAAATAAATAAATAAGTTAAAGATAAAATCAAGTTGATTTTAAATAATGTTAAATTTAAGGAAAAGATTATATAATGTTAAGTGAAGGCTACGATAAAGTTTAGTTTAAGATAAGTTAAAGATATGTTAAAGCCAAGTTAAAGTTACGTTAAAGTACAGATAAAGTTAATGTTCAGATTAAGTTGAGTTAAAAGTTAATAAGTTAAGTTAAGATAAAGATTTGTTGATGTTAAGTTAAAGTTATGCAATAGTCAAGATAAAATTATGATAAAATTTAGTTTAAGTAAAGTTAAATTTGAGATACTGCGCAATGAGCATTAATAAGCCCATTTCATTTATGTTTTTGATTCCTTATATTTTGTTTTTCTTGCCTCCAAGATGAGTCTCATTGTAGCCTACTGGTCATTATAGCTGGTCGAACTCCAGACGAATTTATAAGCGCACTACCGCTCATACTGGCAACAACGCTCTGATGAGACAACGAAACCCCTGATCCTATCCTTCGACAACGTATCCCTCTAACCTCGGGTAAGCCGGGAGTATGAACAATGAATTATCGGCTCTGTAAAGCTAACACGATTGAGCCTTCCAAATAAAAGAACTAGATAAAACAAAGTTTTCGATTTACAGTCCCTTCCATCTAGTGTCTAAATTAATAGATTATAGAGTAGATGTACCAGTTATGGGATTACGCTCCTATTGTGGTGTGTTCCAGTCAATTAATTAATTGTGCTAGAACGTATGACCAAAATTGGTACATCATAATAGGCAGCGATTTTTAAACCCCAACTTCTTTAAATTTCACGCCCCTCAGCTAAGCGCAGAGCTTTTTATTTCGTAGATCCATTCAATAGGCAGAGCAGAACAAATCAGCGGAAAGTTCTGTACACAACGCATTTCGAAACTTTTCCGCTATTCGCACAACATAATCGCAAATCGACCGATAAACTCAGCCTCTCAGCGAAGCATTATGAATGAATCAAGCAGCTAACATACAGCTAGCTTGCCGTCTGACTAGTTCTACTTTGCCACATCCCTCCGTCTCCTGACAACCACCCAACCAATCAACAAGTGGTGGATTCGCAAAGGAAAGTGAAACTTAATCACTCTGAATATGCATTTTCAGAAGCAATAAAAAAAAAATCATCACTTTCCATTATGCTAATTCCTTGCAAGATGAAACATAAATTGACGGAATAGCACATTTTTCCAGAAAAAAACATTTTTGGGAATTTATTCAAGGATGGTGCATGAAAACATCATTCTTCAATGAGTATTTCGCCGCAAAAAGGAAACACAATATGGAAAGCCGAGAGATTTAACTAAATTAGTTCGATCCGTTTCTCTGTCGTTGTTAAACGTGCCGATTGCAGTTTAATTTTCACGCTTTGCTTGGTAGCGACCGAGGGCGAGGATCGGGATCCTGGGTGGTTGACTGGCAGTTGGTGGTGGTTGGTAGTGGGTGGATGGTTTTTTGATGAACGAATTGGTATGTCTTGAAGGCGTGCGCCGCACGCAAGGCCCGCTCGAAGTGGTCATCGTGTAGGGGAGATCAGGTTGGGTGGAATGCGGGACGTGGAAAACCTGTGTGTAAACATGCCTTTCGTCTGTCGGTCCAAGAGGTGCAATAGAATAGAACGGAATTAGCCGTACGGATGGTCGGATGGGGTGATCGTCTCGCTCACTCACTTGTTCGTTTGGCGCGAAGGAACTGGTTGCTGTTGGTGTTGTTGTTACTACTGTTGATGTGTGTGCAATTGCAATGCGCAGAAGATGCACCCGTAAGTCTCGCGTGTGTGCATTTCTCCTATGCTGCGTTGGGTTTGGATGAATGTATGCATGTAGTTGCTCGCTTTTCTAGTGCACATAGTTTATGTTGCTGATCGGTTCGGTTTGGTTGGGTGCGGTTTCGGGGGAGGGGAGGGAAAAACTCCGAGCTGAACCTGGGCTGGTGGAAAATTGAAAATTCAACCAGCTTGGCAAGTGGTATATATGGCCGGATCAGACCGGAGATAGGCACAGTTTGATTTCATTCGTCTACAGTTCTAGAACTATCCAAAGCAGAGAGTGAGGAGTTCCGTGAAGCGGTTCAACTTTGTGATCTGTTTTCCCCGCAAAACAGATTTACTTAAAACACCAGCAAGTTTAGTGATTTAGTTTAGTCCGTGAAGAGGGAGCAACAGATAGTCCAATCGAAAATGAAGATGTTCAAGTGTTTATTGGTGATAAGCTGCCTGGCCTCGGTGTCCTTGGCCCACAGTGCATCCGCGGCACAATCGATCAACTCGAACACAATCGACGACACTCATGACCCACAGCAGCAGACACCTCGGTCCGGATCGTACCTCGGCGAGATCAAGTACCTGTACAAGACGTACCAGGATTGTGCCAGCTCCGATGTTCCCACCTGCTTGAAACTGAAACTGTTCACCATTCTGGATCGCGTTGCACGATCTCTCAAGGACTTCAAGATCAGCGAAGGTGTCAAGTTCATCCGTGATCAGGATGTCCCAATCGACAGCACCCCAGTCAAGAGCGAAGCCCAGATTGAGATGGATCTGCCCCGCTCCATGGATGAGAAGGAACGCTCCCTAAACTCGATGCTGTTCGATAAGGTCCTGTCCTTCTTCCAAACCCACACCCTGCAAGTAAGTACACCGTGCGACGTGAATGTCACAAAATCAGGTTGAATAACCGTGATCACTGTTTCTTTCTTTCAAAACTAGGTCAAGTTCCCATCCAGCGAAGAGATCAAGCGCTCCATGGATGAAGTCCGTGCCGGAGGCGGCGGTGGCTTCGGAGGATCCGGTGGCGGATTCGGCAACAAGGACAAGGACAAGAAGAACGGACACTGGATCATGATCCCACTGCTGCTCGGAAGCACCCTGGTCCCACTTGCCTTCGGTGCCCTAGCTTTGCTGGCCGGTAAAGCTTTGATCGTATCCAAGCTCGCTCTCGCACTCGCCTCGATCATCGGTATCAAGAAACTGATCTCCAGCGGTGGTGGCCACCATGAATCTGCCCATGAGGTCGTCGTCTCCGGAGGACACGGTGGCGGCTGGGGCCGCATTGGTGCCGCCCAAGGTCTGGCCTACAACGGCTATGGACACTACGCCCAGTAAGGTCCTTACATGATGAAGACCCCCAGAAAGGTCTTCAGCAAAACAAAAACAGAACAGCCAAAGCTTGTGAAGAAGCTCACAGACAAACAAATGCCCTACAGACACCCAACACATACACATACACACATCATAGAAACCACAACAGATTGACCGCAAAAGTTCAGGAAACTGACTGATGATCGAAAAATGGAAAAAAATCAAGTTTTTTGTTAATTCTTACGTTACCTCATGCTCTATCCCCTTTCCATTGCTCTCTGTCTCAACCTGTCCTATTGAAGAACCGCGAACGGAATCCAAACAAAAAAACCGTCCGTTCGCTTTCTCGTTTTTGGAAGCAAAGAGCCTTAGCATTTTTTAAAAATAGTTTTAAAAACTTGCTAACATATTTATTTAACTTAATTGTAATTTAATTTATGCCACTCGAAGAACTGATTATTTATTTAATTAAGTCTCTTAAGATCCATTTGTAAAAAGCCGAATAAACTAAAATGATGAAATGAAAAAATAGAAACCCACCATGCTTCTTACTGAACAGCCGTTTCCGAAAAACCAAAGTAAATTCTCGTCCACCTTTCACTCTCACTGTTGACTGCGCTGGTAGCTTTTCCAATTTGTCCCACAATTCAGCCACCATGTATGTGTGTGTGTGCGTGCAAGTGCAGTGCAAAAGTGAGCAAACAAGTTCCTTAGCAGGAAAAACTAGCTCTCCTCGGAACGTGCGCAATCAAACGCACTTTCTTTCGGATCTGGTTTTTCCAATTCCACCGCGTAGTAACGTGATGTCCGAATGCGGTCCAATAATTTCCTTCCCCTCCGCCCCCTTCACCGCTTTACCCTGGATAATTGTTATCCGTGCAATTATATTTTAGCGAAAGCGATTTCACCCATTTTCGCTCAAAGCAAACATATGCGTTTTAAAGGGAGTCATGGACCAGTGGACTCTCGCCCACGATCATTAAATGCAATTGTAGTGAAGACCGGTATGCCTTGGGCGAGTGGATGTGGGTGGTAATTATGAATGCAGTAAAGGATGTAACCAGGCAGAAATTTATCAATGAAATCCAAACAGAAGTTAATGATTGGTTTTCAATGTTTGTTTTAATATGATTGAGTGGTTGTTGAGCAGCACTGGAGGCGAACATGTATAGGGATGCGAATGAATGAGCTTCAGCCAATTCAATTACGGTTTTTTGACATTCTTATTGCAAGTAGTTCCTTTATTTTGGCTCTAATGTTTTAAACAAAAGCTTGGGCTAGTGTCCAAGACACGACCGCATTTTGGATCAAGTTTTGAGAATGAAAATAAGACTGATGCAAAATTTGAAATTTTCGCTCAACAGTGTTCAAACGGTTTCAAATCGGGTCCTGATTAGCCTCCGAAAGTTTGAACTCATTTGATAAGAAACTGGCTTGGCACAAACCATTTGAAGTTTAAATGGAAATTACTATTGGAAAACAAAACTTTTTGATCATTGTCTTCTAGCCTTTTTCGATATTGTACTGTTTACAAATTATATTACTATTCTTATGAGAATTTTTATCAGCTACAACTTTGCACAAAATCGTTTTTCAGCCAAACGTCAAATTAAATAGTTATTAATTGTTTAAGACATTGATAATCTTATGGCAAGATTAAGCAACTGTATTGTGGGCAACACTATGTATTCTGCAGTGTGACATAGAAGCCATGATTTTTGTCCTCTATTCTGCACGCCATAAACACCAATGTTGCCTGCTGAACAGTTGATTGAGCATAATCATAAGACATCAGTGACTTGAATCAGTAATAATTTTTGTTCCTTACATTTGATCGAAAAGTAGTCTTGAACAAAGTTTTAGCTGAGAAAATTTTAAACAAGTTCAATTATCATTTTCTAAAGTACAGTAAACTGGTGAATTTTGAGATAGATATGAATCGAAATTGAGGCTTCTCTATAGTAATTCTCATTCTTCTTCTTCTTCGCATTTCAAGCTTTTTGCGTATCGCATATTAGCTTATTGCGTAGTGTTCTAGATGCACTTCCACAGTTATTAATTGAGAGCTTCCGATGCCTGTACCATTTTTGCATGGGTATAATTGTGTGGCAAGTCCAATAATACTTCTATGCCCAGGGAAGTCGAGAAATTTTCCTACCCGAAAAATTCCTAGACCGGACCGGGAATCGAACCCAGCCACCTCCAGCATGGTCTTGCTTTGTAGCTGCGCCTTTACCGACTGAGCTAAGGGAGGCCCCATAGTAATTCCCATATAAACATCATATGGTTTGAGCCAAGTCAGTTTCTCACTAAATGAGTTCAAATTTTGGAAGGCTAATCAGGGCCCAATTTGGAACTGTTTGAGCACTGTGGAGCGAAAACTTCAAATTTTGCATCAGTCTAATGACCATGCATCAGAATCTTAGTCTTAACCAATTCAAACAAGAGAACAGCGAATAAAAGATTAGGAATCACGTAGATTTTTTGACGTAGGACTACGTCTTTGATTTCTAAATGGGGCTACACTTTGTGAAAACCGAAAATGGAGCATGTAACAAATTAAGAATGAATTTGAACTTTAATAACTGAGCTGCCCCTGGTCCAATTTCAATAATTTTATCACCAATTGATCAGAAATATGGCTACGCATCGATAACAATGCTTTCGAATGTTGATTTTCAACAAGAAGCTATTGAAAAACTGGTAAATGTCCAGCATTGTCCAAAAGCGTCGAATTAACTAACAAATCCACCAATTACCAACATACATATGCTGCTTCCCCAGCACAGTCGTCAGAGAGTAGTAAGTAGACGAAACAAGTCGAAGTGGCATTCGCCTCCGATCCTCGGGCGCGTGCGAATAGGGAGGATGGAATTGCGTAATATTTTGCACACTCATCGCCATACTCAGAACCACACGCTCCCAACGACCACACCACTGTGTGGTGGTGTTCGGTCGTCGAAATTAGTAGCAGCAGTAGCAGCAGTAGCAGTGCTTTCGGCGTGTGGCGTTGAATATTGTTCTCTAGTAACAACGAAAGGCTGCCTGCAAGCAGCGAGCTGCAGAGCCCACATAAGCAACCATCAAAGGAGGAAGAAGCTGCACCGCTATGCTATGGATCGGAATCAGTAGCTCTTCGTGAGTCGCTGCGGGTCGGTCATCTATGCCAAGCGTGTCACCCTTGCTCCAAACGCCATACAGCTCGACAGCCTCATCCGTGTTGAACACCCAGCTCAGAATTACTTAACCATCACTACAAAACGGTCCTTTTCAGGACCACCAAAAATTTGTTAAAGAGTATTATTTGGACATTGGTCAAGGTCATCAGTTCCCGCAAGCAGCTAGTTATCAAGGCGCAACCTGTCTATAGAAGGTGTGGTATTGTAGGCCTGAATATATTAGTGCAATTAGTTTTTCCTCGGCTTTCATTCCGCACGATTCGTTTCTTTCGTTTAATCAATCACCCTTGTAGTGACGTCGAAAAGATTGTTTCAATCGGCACTTACATATGAAATTTAATATGGATTATAGAATTTTTTGTATGTTACCAAAATTTATGAATGGTTTGCCACTAAATGTTGAGATAATTTATTGATTTTTGAATTAACACTCTGTAAACCATGAAAAAGCAGCCTGTTTGTGAGTTTTTGCCTGTTTTCAAGTAAGGAGTTATCATAAAAAAACAAATCGCCAGCTGGTATTTCCCGGCGAATTGACAAATAAATAAAATCAAACAAAATCATTATGCAGAACTAGCTAGGATTTGTTTTACTTCATATTTCACAAAGTTGCTTTCGAGTGTTAAGACATCGTCTCCCGCAAAGTTTACATTTTTCCCTCTACCAACACATACATCAGGGCTAGATAGATCTCCACAGGATCTATAGAATCCACGCAATTTCAAAAAACCAAAATGCACAGCATTACGAAAAGTGGACAGGTTTCGACCAATAGCAGATAGATTTTAATTCTAAACAAGCATGAACAACCATGGAGAAGGAGGAAGAAGTCCCACCGCTAGGCTAGGATCGGAATCAGTAGCTCGTCGTGCTCAGCTCAGCATTACTCAACCACCACTTCAAAACGGTCCTTTTCAGGACCACCATAAATTTGTTAAGAGTATTATTTGGACATTTGTCAAGGTCATCAGTTCCCGCAAGCAGCTAGCTATCAAGGCTCAACCTGGTCTCTATAGAAGGTGTGAAATTGTAGGCCCGAATGTATTGGTGAGATTAATCATCGTCCGACCATTTTCCAGAACACGCTGGTAGGAAGTGTTAAAAATCCATATAGAATTTGAGAGAAGTGGGAATAATTCGCTTTGGGTATATATTCAGTACCCAGAAAGTTAATAAAATCAAATTTGTGAGAAAATTAGCTCTCGAAGTCCCTCCTTTTTTACATATTCTGCACAAACGATACTTTCCGCCCCGTCCCATTCCATATAATTCGGAAGGAAATCCTGTGAGCGGTGAATTGAATGCACTTTAATACCAAAATGCACAAAACTTAAAAATTCATAAATAACAAAAAATTCAAAATACACCTTTTTTAATGTCGGGTAGATGAATCGAAAATACTCAAGTTGACAGTCCCTTGAATTCTCTTCATCAACTTTCTCTTTGAAATAAATACTACAAATTTGACACGCTTACAAATAAAAAACGGAAAGAGTTAAGATAATTGACGATTGATCAATTAAAAGAACAAAATATTCACATCTGTTCCGTCTACTAGCGGTCCTACGAAAAGCTTCCGTTCGTGCCCCAAGGCACAGACCTTTCTACTTTTTTTTTAAATCTTTATTAGAGAGATTTTTAGCCGTTGGCTAGTTCATCTCTATAAAATGGGAGGCCCCAGAGGGGGGTTCTGCCAGCAAATAAATAAATAACTGTCGCTAAAGTGGAAAGTTCGTCGCCCAGTATGTCCCTAATGGTGTTGGGAAGTTCGTACTGCTCCCGTAGTTGTTGGTATTGCGGACACAGGCATAGGATGTGTTCCACCGATGCAGTGGTTCCACAAACGTAGCACATTCTGCGGAACTGCGTCCCACCAAAACTATGTGAGATCCTTGTATGGCCTGTCCTAAGACGAAAAACCACCTTCTGGTCTCGTAGTTTCAACATATCCGTCCACTTGCTCGTCGTTCCTTTGATTCTTCGGATGAAGAGGGATTAGGATTGGCACCACTCTGCTTCCCAGGCTTCCCACATTTTGCTGACTATCCATCGCTTTATGTCCTGTAGTGGCACTTCGTCGGTGTAACGGGGGCCAGCTGGTCTAGACCCTGCAAGGCTGTCGGCTTCACCGTTTCCTGGGATACCGCAGTGCCCAGGGATCCAGGAAAACACCGTGTTTGGAGGTGTGGCCTCCACAGTACCCTGTTTCCAGGGGTGAGTCATGGTCTCCGATGTAAGGGCTTGTATCACACTGTACGAATCGGATAGCACCAGTATGGGCCGGTCCGAGGGTGTTGTAACGGCAACAAAGATGGCCGCAGCTTCGGCGGAGAAAACCAAACAT